GGGCGGGGAGAAAGAGCAAGCGGTCGCGTGGCGGCCGCCCAAAACACGCCGCAAAACAAACAGCGGTTGCCGTGTGCTCCTGTATCTGCTGGGTACGACGTGATCTTTTCTTTCGGAACTCATTGTATTCAAATACTCATTCGCATATGTATTATGTATGCGTTTAAATGTAAATGGATAATAACAGAAACAAAATACAACATATTAAACAAATACAGTACTATGGGATCATAATTCAAACTCATTAATATCCTCATACACACCCGAAGAAATAAAATAATAAAGTGATTTATAGTACTTATATCCTTCATTTTTATAAACATATTATTTGGCCCTGAATATTAAATAATTGTAATTCTACTTATTATTTCCTTCGTGTTTAGTTCGTGGGATTGTCGACTACCTGTTCCCAGAATTATCAAATTACAAAATTGAAGTGATTCAAATGTCTGAGAAACAATGTTTAAAAACAGAAGACATAGGGCCAAAATATTTTATATTTTAAAAACCCTCTTAGTAATTTTGGAATTAAGAGTGCCTCACAGGAATCAGAATATAATAGTTATCGTGAAATTGTGTCCTATGGATAAGAAGGAATGTGTCAATGTCGCAATATGTTCCCAGACTCTCTGTAAACATTTCGTCTGCTTTTCAATAATGTGACTTCGGAGACGTTTCCCCAAAAATTGCAGCAGATCCCTTTGCATTGTTACTTTTAATATTTACAGTTAACGAGTTGGTACCGTTGCATTTCTTCAGTTGATTTTATAGAGTTGAAAGTAACGAGTGGTTTGTAACCATAATTCGAAATCAAAATATTTCATTCGCATATAAAAATTGGATGTCAATTAATAATACGACATAAATTCTCATTTATTAATTGAACCTGTTTGCCTCTCGAGAGAATACACGAGAATAAACTACCTGCTTACAAACTTCAAAACCTGCTCGAGTATTTCCCTAAAATTTGTTACAAAAGCAAAAAATGTATTATTTGTCAAATTTTGCAAATGGGCAACTCGCGAAAATTTATTTATTTACGATGCCCTATTCTTGCGGTGTAGTCTTGCATGATGAGTAATGTTCAGAGCAACTTATGTTACTTTTTCGTAAATAGATAATTTTAAAACTTATTCATTACTTCTTGATATCACTTAATCACTCATTAACAATGAAACTGGTTTACATGTTACTAATAAATACATCTTTACATATAATTACAAATTTACAAAATTCAAGTTTGGCATTTTCAATAATTATTATTTTTATACTGATATCCGCTGTAATTTAAAAGTTAAGAAAGTAGGTGAGACATTAGTGGGAGGTCGAAAATACACAATTTTTTTCTGTTCACAACGCTTTTAAAAAGTATAATATAATGATTCTCGTATTACTCACCATACAATGTTTTTAATACATTATTGCTTATTTCCACAATCTTTACGTTTGCTGTTTTACAGAATGCACTTTCGAAATACGATTCGAGAGTCGACCTTCCGAAATACGATTGAATGTTGTTGGTCAGATTGTACGATTTAACGATTATTTTGGGAAATTCTAATTCTCTCCTTCCTCGAGCCCTCCTAGCTAGTTATTGATAACCAGACCATTTTCCATGTCAGTTTCTCTTTAACATGTCAGTGTGAATAGGAATATTATATCTCCTCTTTTTTTGAACTTTTTTTTTCAAACACGTCAGTCACAAAAAAAATCGATGATCTGTTATTATTGCAATTCGATTTTTACTCACAAATGCTTACAAGAATGCATTTGTCAAGCTATGCCGGAGTCGTTTTGCCAATAATACCTGCTCACATCAGCTGCACACTTGTAAATTTGTATGTAAATGGATGCTGTTTAAACGTATGAACTGATCAAATGTATTATCACCATACACTACCTTAGGTTTATGAAAGTAGGATTATTACTGTTCAATTTCAAATAACTTCAGTATCTAATTCTATCCCACATAATCCTGCAGGTAATCGGAAATAAAATTAATGTCAGTTAAATTCTGAGAAATGCATTCCACACCGAGAAAATATTACAGCATCTCCAAAACATTAGCAGGGTTCAGATGCAACCTACCTTCCTCGGGAATATTTGTGGTTGTCAGCAGATATTTGATACTTGACATACAGCATTCCTGAAAACTAGTTTTGCCTGACTTTGAACTTAGACTTGTCACCTTTTACTC